TCTTAACCAACCTGTTCTACTTCAAGAGCAACTGGGTGGACATCCGAGCAGCTGCGCCCATGTTCATCGGTAAGGCTGCTGGGGTCCTGCTCCCAGGCTGCTCCTCGGGTTTCGCGTGGGTGTCCCCTCCCCAGAAGGGGTGCGTACGTGTCCCTGTTGTCCTGGGAATGCTTTCGGTCCCCGCTCTGCTGGGAGGGTACTGCGGACAAGCAGGGCTGCTGGAAACGGCCAGGTCATCTGGTGCCTCCGTGTCCTGCAGAGCAACCGACCTGCGCCTTGCTGCGCCCAGGCCTGGGGACAGGCACACGTGCGATGTCCCCAGGTGGTGCCAGCACCCCAGGAACTCTTCTCCAGCCACTCCACACATGCTGGCTGTGTGCACGGTGTCTGCCGTGAGCAGCTGAGGTGGAAAGCACATGGCCAGGTCGTGCCATGGTTTGGGTGACCACCCGCCATGGGCAATGCCCGTACAGACCCTGGTTTGCAGCAGCAGCGGGCTGCCTGTGGGCTGCACAGACGATGCCAGTAATGGGGCCTGGACCAGCTCAGTCCATCTTTAAAAGTCTCCAGGCTCAGGCAGCAGCGTGCGGGTGAGGTTACACTGAGGTGAGCAGCGCGGCCAGAAGAGCTGCTTCAGCCCCGTGCACCCAGCTCAGAGCAGTTCCTCCTTTCTGAGGAGGATGGGTAGCGCCCAGCCTTGCTTTTACCCCTTCAAGATCGCACGTGGGAGGAGGTTTTGCTGCTTTCAGTGCAGACCTCGGCTGCGCTGCGCTCGGATGTGCTCAGCGATGCTTTAGGACAAGTTATCGGAGCTGCTGGCAGGCGACTCCTTAGGGTGCACGTTAGACAGGGAATTGTATGTACGACACCGACGGTGGTCCTCACCTGAGCGGTTGTTGTGGGGTTTCCATTGAGACTCCGCACAATGCACCGATGCAGGAACGAGTGACCTGGTGCCTGGCGGCATGCCGCTGTTATCTGTCTCCTCGGATGTGGGGCTCCCCGGTGGGATCCAGACCAAGCCCTCATTCTGAAATTCTTCCTCAGGCTTCCTCGTGCTGCACGTGGACGAAGAACACTGTCAGCAAGTGGACCTGGACCAACTCATTTCGGGTGAGTAGGTGCTGCCACCCGTGGCTTTCGCTGCTGGGGAGTGGGGACTTGCCTCTGCCTGCTGGAATCTGAGCTCAGCCCCGCAAGATGGGGCTCCCCAGCCTCTGGCACTGCTGTACCTGTGGCTCCTGCTCAGCTCTTGGGGCTGGGGCATGGGCAGCACCTAGGGCAGCCTCCTGCGGGCCCCCAGGGACCGGCAGCTCAGGGGCTTTAGGCCATCGCAGAGGGACAAGGCTGCAATGGGATCCTGCTCCCTTCTGGATGCGCTGGTGCGGTGAGATCCAGCGCTGCCCCCAGGCAGCACCTGGCTGCGTCCCTGGGTGAGCTGGGGCACATGGGGAATGTCCCCGACCTCACGGTCAGCCCATGAAGCCAGAGCTGTGGCCTGGATGAGCCCAGCACCTGCAGGTAGCAGACACGGGGGGGCCTGGGCTGGAAAGCCAAGGTGCTGCGAGGGGCCGAGCAGTCGGCGTGGGGATGCTGAGATGGCATTTGGTTTGCACCCTGCGGGCATCCCGGGACCGAGGTTGCAGCTCACCCGGGAGCGGGGCTCTGCTGGTGGGTGCCGAGTGAACTCTGAGCCCTGCATCCAAGCCCGACCCCACCGGGCTGCACCGCAAGCTCTGGTTCTTGGCCGGCAGCTCCGGCCCTGGGCGTCCATTGGGGGCTCACGGGGCATTTGCAGTGGCTTAGCGTAAGCAGGAGGGGACTCACAGCGTTTGTTTGTAACGTGTTAACCGTTAAAAGGCAGAGTTAAGGCTCGTTATGAAGGGCTAATAAAAAGTCGACTTGAAGCTGGTGGCATTTTGGAGCAGAGTTAAGTAATTTTCCTGGATTTCAGGGATTTTTTCCCTGTCACTAGTGACCTCATAGTATATAGTAATGCATGGAAACTTTTGGATTGTTCCAAGGGAGCTTAAAAAACACTAAAAAAGGAAAAACTATCTTTCCGTTGGCTCCCTGAGCCCTTCCAGAAGAAAGAGGCCTGTCTGTTTGAAACAAGTGAAAGATAATCTGTCTGTGTGTGAGTAATCGCTGGAGCGAGCAGGCCTGGATTGGGTTGCGCGAGCTTCCCGTGTTGAGTGGCTCAGCCGCACGGGGTCTAGGGGGGCTTCGGCATTACAGCCCGCCCCGGGGCACCCCCGCGGCTGGGCCCGGCAAGGCACGAGGATGCCACGAGTGGGAAGCAAGCGGGCACATAAATCAGGGGAGCCTGGCTCGCCGCGGGAGCAGGGGGGCTCGGGAGGGAGGCGAGGGCTCTCCTGCGCCGGGTAAACAAGCTACTGGAAAAATATTATTATACTTTTACTGCTAGGAAAAACTACCTGGATTGTTTTCTTACTACCGGGAGCTGTTCCAGGCATTAGGAAATCGTGCTGATAGGGGAGGCTTGGCCCGGCGAGCGTCTGCATGGCCCCGCAGGCCCTCGGGGGCTCAGCTCCCGGCTCCTCTCCCCTCCCTGGCCCCGGACCCTGGTGCTGGGGCCC